TGTGAATGGATGGGACAACGTGGTTGAAACCCATCCAACCCGCAAGCCCTGACTGCTGCTGTTCACAGTTTAGCCCCCTCCTTCCCCACAGCCCCTGGGAGAAGTGCTGAATCCTCCACTTGGTCCTTTGTTCCCCAAGTATCAGTAATCTTGGTGGAAAAGCTCGTTCCCCCATCGAGACATGGCATGTCCAGACCCTTCTTCTCTTCCCAACTTGTTGCAGAGACATGTGATTGACCGATGGCTCGTGCAGCAGCAGCAGCCTGGCTGGGATCACTGCCTGGGCTTTATGCTTTAGCTCTCAGAGGGTCACTAGTCCACTTTCTGAAAGCAGGTTTGTTTTTTATTTTCTTTCAAATATAATAATCCATTTGGAATAATTTTGCACCTGCAAGGCCCCCCCCCTGCTTCTGGTGATGGAGACAGAGACACCAGGGATGCCCTCTGGGGCTGGAGCAACATGCGTAGGGTTTGCAGCTTTCATCCCATACAGCCCCAGCTACATACCCTTCCTGTGCAGAGGAACACATTATTATTGTTATTATTATTATTATTACTACTACTACTACCCATAGTATCACTCTTTCTTGCCTACATCTGTTGTTCTGTAACTTCAATGAAAGCTTCAAAAGCAGGAGCTGTTGTGTCCTTGGCACATCCTCCCTCTCCTTCTCACATGCATCCCTCCCTGCATGCCATGCAGGGAAAGGTTGTCCCTGTTTTCCTGGGAGAAGGGCTGAGTGATGGAGCAGTGTGCTCAAGAGATGCGGGTTATGAGACCTTCAGTCTCCTTCATGCCTTCCCTCCTTCTCCTGGGTTGAGCGAAGGGATGTGTTGCACTGCCTGTGCTAATGCAGTGATTGTGCCTTGTCTGCTCTGTGCGTTCTCCTCTCTGAAGAGCACAGGGCAAATAAGAAGCTGTTCCCTGGGGCTTTACTGGCTGTATGTGCTGGTAATGAAATCTCCGGTTATTTAAGTACCTAGAGAAGAAAAATCTCATTTACTTCATCTTCTCCAGGACTTTCCCCACTTGCATTTCAGCCCCTGGTAGCAAAGCTGGGCCAATGTGAGCCTTCGTGCCAGGCATCCACGGGGGCTGCTGCTCCATGTGTCTCTGTGCTCTAAACCCTTGGTAACCCTCGGTTTGGTAGAGGGATGGATCCATACATTATACGTATGGATGGCATCAGCATTTTCTGTTTCCCAAGGCCAAGATGAACCTTGGCATTGTTGGTGTTAGTTGATGCCTCTCACCTAATGATCACATCTTCCCTGATAAAATACAAGCATGAGTTTAAACTCGAGTGCATCTCTCTGGAGAGCAGCTCAACACTGGTATGGGTGATGTGCATCACTGGTAGCTGGCTCTGGACTTAATCAGCCTAGGGACTGCACCAGGTCCACCTGGAAGGAAACCACTGTGTCCATGGCACGATGCACGGAGGATCTGGTGGATGCAGGCTGCACCGAGCAGCACCAGTGTATCAGCTGGTCCAAAGGGACAATAAACTCAGGGTAAAATGGAACAGCTTCTGCTCTTAAAACATTTGAGAGAGTGCTCATAGAGGGATTTAATTCTTAAGTGTATCTTGATTTGCCTCTAAAAATCAATTTTGAAATTATTTTATGGCAACTTTTATGAACGTTGTCTGCTCTTCTGTTACAGTCACACCCTGCCTTGCTTTACATCTTTCTCCCCTCATCCCATCTTGCTTTCCATCTGTCAAACGGTTCAGCTGTAAAAGTGGCACCAGTCTGGCACAGCTGGAGAAAAACAGCTTTTTTGCTTCAGCAGCCCGCAGCTTTGCTTTGTGTAGGCCCTACAAAAACTATGCTCATGTCTTTTAAATCTGTAAAGGGAAGAGCCCTCCTGGAGCAGACCCTGCTCTGGCTCCCTGTGAATTAACACCCTATTTTGTTCACTTTCAAAGCAGCTGCCTCCTCCTTTCTGACCCTCTCCTGTGCAAACACCAAGATGGAAAAATTCCCCAGGGCAGGATGCGCCTGGAGGCAGCACTGGGGCCCAGGGGCTGGGTGGAAATGAAACATCCCAGAGGGGAAAAAGCAGTTCCTGTTCTGTTTCTTAGATTTATTTATCTTTACCCCCAAAAATGGGAACTGAACAGGGCGTTGGTAACCTGCACCCACCCCCTGCACCCAGTGCACCAAGTGCACATTTTGGTGACTAAATCGCATCTCTGCTTCCCGCAGCTGTGATACTCTGAATCCCAGAGTCCTGAATCCCAGAACCCTGGAGGGTCCCAGACCTGGGAAGCAGCTCCAAGAGCTCCTCTGGGGGGAATTGTTATAATTAAAGCAAATATCTGGGGAATTTGTGGCTCAGCAGAGTGGGAGGCACCGGATCCTGCCCCCACATAGAGGCTGCAGCGGGTGCTGGGGGCCCTGGGGGAAATTTGCTTTTCTTTATTTAATGTGATTAATTAACTTTATTAAAATAATTAGTGACATTAGCCTGCGTTGCTCAGGCTGCTGCATTGTGGCTTCTCTGTTGAAATGCTGGATAAACTGAGTGTCTTCCTGGGCTGTTTTCCACATAGGAAGCATCCCCCATCAGATAACACAACTCTCTCACAGGATATCTCCATGGAGAGAGGACTTAAAAAGGAGAGGAATAAGTGGTCTTGGCAGAGCTGGCATTATCAGCCTGCACTGGAGCAAGGGGGAGGTTTGGCAGTTAAATGCACTAACCTCGCTGTCTTCCACTGGGCCTCCTCTTGCTTTAATTCAAAGAGCTTGGAGTTCTCAGGCACGTGAGGGAAATCAATGCTTACCCCCCTGCTGTGTAATAACTGCGCAGGCTGAGGCGTGAGCTTGCCCCTGAGAGCCACGTTGTGTCGTCCCCTGGGACGGATTGATTCAATTGAGTGGCTTTTTTTTATTATTTATTGATTTCTTTTAATTATTTTCCCTTTGTTTTTTCTTTTCCCAGGCTTCCAAACCCAAGGTGAGCATCCCGCTCTCGGCCATCATCGAGGTGCGCACCACCATGCCGCTGGAGATGCCTGACAAAGACAACACCTTCGTCCTAAAGGTGAGAGCAGGGTGGCAGTGGCGTGCATCCCGATGGGAACACCATCTGTGCTTGCATCCAGCCCCCACGGTAGGGATGCTCGGTTCCCAAGGGGATTGTTGCCTTGGCTTTCAGAGCTGAGATGCTAACAACACTAATGATCCCCATGGGACTCCTGCCTCCCCTCCCTGTGTTGTGTCCCCCCTCAAATGATGCAACCTCCACCTGATGCCTGGGTATTTTGGGATCAAGCTGGCTTTCACCATGGGGTTTTGCTTCTCCATGTCCCCAGGAGATGGGTTAAATCAGTGTCCAGAGACAATCTGCAGAGGAAAACACTCTTTGGTGTGGATGCCTGTGGTTTTGTGACTGCTGCTGCCCCAGGTTGCACATGCTGGCCATTTCATTGACACAGGGCAATGAATGTGCAGGGCCACCAGGGCCCTGGGGATCAACCACCCCACGTAGGTCTGGGGGCATGAGCAGAATGTGGAAGTCCCTCTCCAGAAAGAGTTTTCCGTATCACACAGTTAATGAGCTCAATGCTCCCCCCTGCTCTGCTGAAAGGCAGGAGCCTGTCACAGCAAATTGGGGCTGAATTTCAGTGTCCTGGCTCGGGGCATGACATGCCACCATGATGATGGACATGTTGTTGGAGATGGCATTTCTCTCCAGCTAATGAGGCTGTGCCTCCCTGCTCATGCTAATGGACTTGTGCTCTCCATCAGAGCTGTTGGATGTGCCTGGCTGGGAGGTAGCACATGGACATTGGGGGAACACCAGCAATCTGAGGATTTCTGTGTGCTGCCTCTGCTAAAGAAAACCCTTTTCCCTGATGCTTCTCCATGAAAGCGTGTGGCCCCACCACACATTCCTGTGGGAAATAGCTCTCTACCAAACCCAGCTCCTTGCAAAGGTCCCACACCTTCTCCTGGCAGCCTCCCCCAGGACATTCTCCCTGCCCAAGGCTTCTTGCTGTTCAGCCTCAACCTCTGCTGTGGTCAGTGTCCAACAGGGACATGGAGGCTAATCCAGCTGTTGTCTTCTGTGCCTCAAAGACCAACCTCATGTGTCTGCTCCTCTCCAGACCGACCAGACCAAGGTGGTCCTCACTTTGCTTGTGGGCTCTGGTGAGACAATTCCCCAAAGCACATGTGGTGCCATGGCCAGCAGTGGATGGGAAGGATTGCTTCTCATTTGATTGCTTCTCCTTTCTTCTTCCTCTTTTCCCAGCCCAAGTTGATCCAGTTGCTTTCTTGTACCTTGATGACGTTATTGACTCATATGCAGCTTGTGGGCTGGTGTAACCCCTCAAAGGTTTCTGCAGAACTGCTCCAGAGTGGTGGTTCCCCAGCCAGGCACCCATGGTGATCAGTGTGAGCCCAAGAGCTCGCCTGTGTCCTAGAGCTGGAGGCTGGTTTCAGCTTTTCCTTTCACAGAGCATTTCTCAGCTTCCACAAGTTCATTTGAATTCTCACTTCATCTTCCAGCACGCTCACAATGTGGTGTCATCCATGAATTGATTAGGCATCCTTGCTTTGCTTCTTGTCCTAATCATTATGGAAGAGCAGCACGCATGAAGAGCCTTTGATATGAAACGTGAAGGAGCTTCTGAGCATATCCCTCAGCTTTGACCATTAGCCCTCAGTAAGCCATTAACCATGGATAACTGCTTTGGGAGTATGGCTCATCAGCTACTTCTGGTCATGTTTTCTCAAGTCTCATCTCAACTGTGTCTTGCTCCCCTGCTTGCTGGCGTGTCACATCAGTGTGACACTGCTTCTCCCCATCGCTGGGGCTGTCACGAGCATGAGCAGATGGGTTTGACAGGGTCCTGCAGATCCCTGTTGGGGGGATTCAGCTCTGGGGTGCTTCCCTGGTGCCTGTGGAGGGTTCATTTCCTGGGCTGCTGGAGGTGGGCTCTGGGCTTGTCCTCTTCTGGAGCCAGACTTGCTCTCTCCACTCCCCCTGCTTACAGCTCTGTGACTGCTTCAGCCATTTCTTTAATTACCCTTGGGAATGCTCCAAACCCCGATGGTCTGGAAGTGCCTGATTTACCAGGTACCCTCCTGCCCCGTCCTGGCCAGGGCATTTACCCTGCTGGGGGGTTAATTGATTGCAATCGATCTTTTGAGCAGCCAATGCAGCATTGAGCCTTTGCCCTCCCCTCCCAGCTGTCAGCACGGGATTGCTTTTCCCTATTCCTGACATCCCTTATTAGTTGTAACTCATTTTCTGCCCTGGCCCTTCTTGCTGGGACATCTTCTTGCCACTCTTTTGCATTCCCCCTTTGCTGTCTGGACTCGCAGAGACAGTGAAGCACCCCTCAGTGCCGGGACACAGATTAGAAGGGTAAGAAAGGGATCTGGATGCTGTGGTTCCCCCACTGCTTTCCCCTGTATGGGATTGATGCGGAGCCCAATCTCAACTTTCACATGTGGGTTATGATGGGAGGAAAAACCCCTGCCTTATTCCGGGAGGCTACATTGCCAAATTGCCTAAAAATGAGCCGGCAGCATGTCCCCACCACACATCAGACACCAAGCACATGCAGTTTTTCCATTGCACAAGCAGGCACTTGCAAAATACCCAGGCTCTGCACGTGCTTCACTTGCTGTCATGCTCTGCATGAGAGAGCAGCCCCGTCTCCCACGTCAGCTCCATGCATTGCTCTCAGAAAGCCAGAGAGGCTCGTTTGCTCTGATTAAACAAAATGGGGGGGGGGGAATCTTTGCTGCTTCCTTCCTTCTGTTTGGGGCAGGATCCCCCATGCACAGCCCCAGGCTGCAGCAGGGGAGCAGGTTGCTGCTCAGCCCTAGCCCAGGCACTGGGCACTGCTTATTTTCAGGACAGTGATTCAGTTGTTTGTGATTAATCTAATTTGCCAGGAGGTTGTCTCAGCTGGCAACGTGATACCCTCCCGGAGTCAGGGCTGCCTCACCAGCTTGGGAATGTGATGGATAAGGGGTCCATGCGGGATGCAGCATCGCATGGCACAGATCCTGAGCCCCCTGCTCTGTGGCTTGATGTGGGGCTTCTGCGTCCTCCCTGGCCCCAGAAAGGCTCAGCTCCTTTGGGCTTGTAGTTTTAGAGGCTCTTGTGCATCATGATGATGGGGTTTAGTATTCTTCTTCTTCAGTTAAAGCGGGTTTCTCTCCCACCCTGCTGCAAGTCAGTTCCTGCCTCGTGAACCAGCAGGAAGAAATATAACAGAGGAGAGGTTTAAAACTCTTGGGTTTAGGAGTCTGGCAGGATTTGGGGCAGAGAGCAGCATGGCTTCTGCTCTTCCTGAGCAGATGTAGTTTTGGGGGGACACTGAGGCACCCCAAAAGCGTGGGATGCTATCTGTGCTGGTGCTTGGTGCTGTGTGCCCTCAATGCCATCAGCCAGGTGTGGTTTTGCCACAGAGGCTGTAAAAACCCTGTGATACACTTGCTGGTATTGGTGGGCTTTTTCCTTCAAGCCCCAGCTTTGATCAGGGGTCCCCTTTGGACACCCCGAAGCACCTCTGTGGGTCACCCCTCAGCATCCGTTCACTGGGATGAGACAGAGCACTTATCCTCTCCCAGCAACAGGTGAATGTGGGGGTCTGCTTGGGTTATGGGGTGTGCTTTGCCCTGGGGCGGGTGGCAGGACCCAATCTGACACTGTCCTGCGTTGCTGCAGGTGGAGAACGGGGCTGAGTACATCCTGGAGACCATCGACTCGCTGCAGAAGCACTCCTGGGTGGCGGATATCCAGGACTGCATCGACCCTGGGTAAGGCTGCTGGAGGGTGGTGCTGTGCGGGGACTGAGCTCACCGCTGCCACGGTGCCTGTGCCCCCGAGCACGGGTTATTGCCCCTGATGCAATTCTCGGTGCCTGGGTCGTTACAGAAAGTCCCTGACACACACCAGCACAAGGCTGGAGGCAGAGTCAGCAGCCTGGGTATGTCAGAGGTGCAGCCTCGCAGAGCACTCCCTGCTTGCTCACCCTTTCCTGCTCCACGTTGTCTCAGCCCAGCAAAGGCAACTGACCTGGGATTAGAGCCCGTAACGTGGGAAGCTGCTAACACCCACCTGCTGAAGCTTTTGTGCTGTATTTGAGCTATTTTCCACGTGTGTTTTCCAGTTCAGAATCCATAGGATATTTAAGATTCTGCTGGCTTAAACAGATTACTTGTGTTTCTATCATGGTGCCATTAACACCATTATTGGAGTCACAACAACTTGGCCAAAACTTCTCATCTGCTGCTTCATCAGCCTGTGCAGCAGGTTGCATGTCAGGGAGGTTTGTGTGCCCGGTGCTGTTCCCTTCAACTGGCTCAGACATGTCTGGTGCTGCGGAGGCAGGATCAGCCCAAGCTCTCCCCAGGCTCCGGGAAACCCTGGTGCTGAACTGGCTCAGACATGTCTGGTGCCGCGGAGGCAGGATCAGCCCAAGCTCTCCCCAGGCTCCGGGAAACCCTGGTGCTGCCTGTCTTGGCATGGTTTTGGAAGAACAAGGTGCCCAAGCTTCCAGAGGTGAACAGCCTGGAACATGGAACAGAGGCTTGGAGAGGCTCCAGCTGCCTCCAGGCTGCCTTTGCCCCCTTCTGCTTGAGAGACAGAGTTTGGGCATTACGGGGCCAGTGACCATGGAGGCTGCATCCCACAGGGAGGATGCACTAATGCACCCCAGATCTGTGCTCCTCAGCTCCTTTGGCTGTGTTTTGAACCAGATAAGTCAAGAAGTGACACTGCTGATGGAGGCAATGCTGGGAAACATCCCTTTTTTCCCCACTGCACGTTTCAGTGCTGGTTTTCCAGCCGGAGCCATGCTCTCCTCATGCTGCTGGCAGTCTCCCAGCCTCTTCTGTTTGCTTAGCACCCAGCACAGTCCCGCTTTGGCCTCCGGACGTGACTGTAAAGCAAATAATAATGAACTCCAGAGCAAATAATAATGAGCTGTTTAATACACCGACACACGCTTGGTGCCAAGAACGACGTCGCAGTCGGCTCCCGGTGCTTTTGCCAGGGGCTGGAGCCCGGCGACGGCTTTTCTGCACAGCGCTGCTGGTTTTGGTTTCCTTCCTCCCTCCTTGTTTTTAACCGTCTGCAGCTGAATGACTCCCAGTGGCTGATTCACTTACTGGCCACTCAATAATTTACCCAGC